AGACAACGTACGTAATTTATGAGGCCAAATTTCATTTTTGGTCCATTATATTGGCCATTTTCTAGAAATGGTCCACTAATTTGGCGGACATCAAACTTGATACAATAAGTTGTAAAATTCATCATCTTTGGTCCATTAATCACTCGAGAGACTACGTGGCGGACATCGAAATTGTCCACGTATTCGCCCGATAAAACGCCACGTATGCTTATGGACCAAAAATGATGGATTTTACAATTTATTGTATTAGGTTTGATGTCTACCAAATTAGTGGACCATTTCTGGAAAATGACCAATATAATGGACCAAAAATGAAATTTTGCCTAATTTATGATCACTTAATATCATGAGCAATTAATGTTATAGAAAATAAAATTACTCCATTTTCAGTGAGCACCAAGCAAGCAACATTTCATACATGCATTAATAATTTTTGGTTAATTATTGACATTGACTTATTCGCACTCATCAAATTCCGCTGGAAATATGTGTTAGGGAAATAATTGCACGACGAGTATTCTATTTTCCTCAATTTACGGGCATGGAATATGAAAACACTCGTTCTGTTAGACGTTTGTTGAAGCCGTTAGCATAATAATCTACGTGATATATTGTGACGAAATCTTGATTGTTCCGAATATTGATGATGTTATATAATGGTAACGGGACTCTAATTAGACGCTTTCCAAGCAGCAGAGGTGGATCTAGGAAAAAAAATTGTTTTTGAGGGCACTAAAGTTGTTATTCGAACAAAAATGTCTGCGAACACAACTCAGCTTGACTCATAAAAAACTCGAGTTAAGCATGTTTTTATAATTTAATGAAATAATCTCAAACACTTAATCGAATTTGTTTATTAACTGAGTTTGGTCTGACATTTTTTTTGAATGAGTCAAGCCGAGCTGATTCATTTATCAATCAAACACGAGCTTGAATATGAGATATTTTTGTTTCACTCTACTTGTATAACACCTTTAGAGAGGATATATAATTTTTATAGCACACACATATAAGGCATACACTTTCTTTATATATTCAATATGTAAAATAAATAAGTAATATGCTTTACATAATATATAACTTATGAATTTGGTATTTTAAAATTTTGCTTGAGATTAATTTAGATCACAAGTCTCATTAATAATTGATTTTTTTTTATCAAGTAGTGTTAATAGTTGTTGCAATTACTTTTTGAACCCACGAAATTGCATATCTTGCATGCTTTGCTATTTTAATTTTTTTTCTTTATCTTAAGATGTTTCACGTATCATACCTTCAATTTAATTGAATCTTATATTACAAAGAAAAAGCACCAAATCACCCTTGTATATAATTCTCGAATGCACTGAGCCTACATGGCTGCTTCTGGTGCTTCGGAATTCTACTTGGCGAAGAATCATGCTTCGTAATTAAGTTTGGAAAAATAATATTGATATATTAATAATTAATAATCTAGGTTCAGACATTCTATAAATAATATTTAGCTAACTTAGGTATTTTAATATCACTTGTACAAATATAACCCTTTAATTTTTTGTAATTATACATAGTG